CTAGCGTTTGCAATGGCGGTGCAGGGACCTTTTCCAGTCCTTGTAGCACTTTGCTGCCTCTCTATCAACAACGGACCTCAGAATGCCGTTTTTGTAGTTATAGTCCATGTTAAACCAATCCTTGCAAAACAGTTTCACATCGTTAAAACGCATTGTTAACTATAGTATAAACTATACAAAATGTACCATAAAAAAATACCAGCATCCGGTCCTGAATTGTCCTCTTGTCCACGTCGCTAATGTCCTTCCAAGCATCGTGGAAGGGCTCGCATATGTCCCTGGTATGAATACCAACCGCACTATCAAACCAGGCACCATAAAGGACCTTTTGAGCGATTTCATAACCTTTTGCCCCACCTCGCCCTCTACGTTGTCGAGGTTCAGGTGCTGTAAGCATATGAAAGCATTTCAAATCAACATGTACTATTACATTTATTTACTATATGATAAAATGAGGAAAAAAGTCATAATAACATACCAGACTCACAGTAGGCGGGGACTCTGTGAGGACCGGAAGGAGGCTGCGCTCCCCCTGAAGAGCCAGCGCAAGTCGTTAAAGTTCCAGCCATCAATATCTGTGAACAAATTCATATTAATAACAACATTTATAAATTCAAAGAAGATCATAATATTAAAACGAAATATGAGAAAAATGACAAAGATTACTATATTGTAGTTCTACTCATCGTCGTTGCTACATTGTTGATTGTCGCCATCATCATTTATGTCATCATCGTCTTCAGATTCGATGACTTCCTCTTCAACGTACTCCTCTAAAGTTTCATCATCTTCATCATTAATAAAATCATCAACTACGGGAGACTTATCTTTCATAATTGCATCAACATCAGAAATGACAACATTAGACAATCCATCATCTCAATACAAATGAGTCAATCTCTGGTAGTTCCACTACTAACTCAATATTTGTAGATTCTGTATCCTGGACTATCATCACGTCATCAATGTCAGTTTCTGAGATGTCCCAAATATGGCGATGTCTAAAGTGTTCTACAACCTTCCAGTTTGGACCGTTAAATAAATCGTCTACGTAAAAAACTTGTTCTGCTTGCGATGCAAGTATGAAAGGTTCATTCTCGTACCACGTCTCTTTAACAAAAACACTTATTCTATTTTTGTAGTGTTGAATCCTTTTCTTTCCCAAACGAGTGTCAAACCAAAGACATTTAAAAAGCATAACAGAATTGTCATTCAAGTACGACAGCTCATAAATGTCCTCCAAAACTCCATAAAACATTTGGTTATCAGGTCCGCGAACACAAACACCACTATTTTGAGTACTTCGATTCATATCCCGATTGCGTGTCAGAAACTTTACACCGTTGACCACACAACCAGGATAACTTCAACATGAGAAGCTTGAACCACTTGAAAGTGAAAGTATTTGATCATTCACTTATGGCTTATTCTGCTTTCGAATATTGAAAATCTACAAGGAAACATGAATATTCTATAAAACGCCACTTTTTAATGACTTAACAATGTTAATGCAAATTAATTATAAACGTACCTTATTCTTAAACCATTTTGGAAACTCTTTCGATTGAATTTCATCCAATGGTATGATTCGACGGTCGGTATCAATCTCCTTCCTATGATCACTGTTTAACAGAGAATGAAAGTAAATGACATAATTGTATGTGATGCGACACAATCTATGAACAATTAAGTGACAAAAGTGAAAGTAATACGTACTTAATGAACTGCTGAATTTCTGAACAGTTCTGTAGGACATACCACTCGGCTTTCTCTCACAAACGAGTATCCAATGTGACGGGGGTCATCTTCCCAATTGGCCGACAATGAGTATCAAATACAGAAATCTTTTTAACAATACGATCTTCATCGTCTATCCAATTTCTGGCTAGCCGGTTAAACCGTGTTTCAACTCCAGTTAAATACAACGAACAAAAAGTCAGAGCTTCGTTGACAATGTAAGCCTCAGCAATCGAACCCTCAGGACGTGCACGATTCTTGA